AAAAAAAAAAAAAAAAAAAAAAAAAAAAAAAGAAAAAGAAAACAATGCTGTCCTAGATTTTTCCCTCTCCCTTTGAACACAGCCCCTCTTTTGGGCTGAGTTTCCCACACAGCTCTGATGATGCAGGAGGATGCCAAGAGCCCAGTTGGTGCCTCAGCCCAATGCCTGCATCTGTGCCTTGGTAGCAGCTATTCATCTCTTGCCACTCAGAGTCAAGTTCCCTGAAGTTTAGCCTTCCCTAAGTGCTCGTTCACTTCAGAGGACTCAACCGTCATCTTCCGTGTCCTCCTGGCCTAATTTCTCATATTACTGAGTATGAATGTCTGTTCAGGAGAGGGAAGAAGGGTCATTCATGAAAAAAGTGAGTGCTCAACTAACTCTCCATGGGTGAAGTAAGTAGTGAAAAGATTTTAAAGAAACAGAAATTTCTGGTTTTGGAAGGAGGAGATCCTGAATGGCTCTGTGTCGCAGGAGAGACTCCTGGAAAGGAAACCTCAGGTTCCGGTCGGTCGGTCAGTTTGGGGAGAAATATTAGCAAGGTGTTACACAACATCAGCAGTCCCTTCTCTGGAAATTCTATGGTATCCTGAAGAGCTCTCGGAATTTTGTGATGTCACTCATGTCCTAGAAACGCCAACTGCCCTCAAGACACACTCTCTCGGTGCCTATAAGACTCGGTTCTAGACAGGTTGTCTAGAGAATGGAGATAGTGGAGAGGCCAGAGGGAGGAAGAAGAAAGCTGGCCCCAGATCTCACAGGAAAACATGGAGAAATAATAGTGGTCCTGGGGAAGAAGAAGTGAGTTCACCACTAGCAGGGACTAGAGAGATTTCTGGATGTGATGGCTTTGAGACCCACATCAAAGATTCACGATAGTTGATTTGACAAAATTGGGCATTGACAAGGAGTGCAGAAGGAGTCAGTGAGATTTCAATACCAGCACGGCACATCATCCCCCCCCAAGTCCTTTTTGTTGTGTAGCAATAATAATAAAGGGGAGTAGCGCTCTGCCAAAGCCCGTATTTTACCATGTGTATAATACCACAGCTATTAGCAGGGTTGAGGCATCAAAAGTCACTCCTCCTGTGAGCCCCTAAGGTTTCTGGCTTCCCAGTTATGAATGACACCCTGGTCCTGGGGAGTCATCCTGCATATTCATGAGCCCCTGGGAGGGGCCTGGGAGGAGCCAGAGTCAACCCTAGTTTCCATAGACCTTCCATAGATCTAGGAATAGTTTTAGTATTGTTCGAATGAATTAATATTCAGCTATTTATTCCCACCCTTATTTATTTACCACTGGATGACCACCGAGCACCTTCCTCTCACCACACTAGCCCCCTTCTCCCCCTGCCCCATCTGGATGGATGGATGGATGGATAGATAATAAATAAAAGGATGGATGGATAGATAAATAAATAAAAGGATGGGTGGAGGGATAAGTAAGTAAGTAAATAAATAAATAAATAAATAAATGTGAGTGGGTAGGGCGGGCTGGGATAGAGAAAGAAACAACAGATACATTTAAAAATGACATCAGTCAACCAAGACATGGAAAAAGACAACTGGTCGACCCACGTTCACAAGGCCAACTGGTCGACCTCAGTACTTGGATGGATGGATGGATAGATAGATAGATAGATGAATGTGAGTGAGTAGGGCGGGCTGGGATAGAGAAACAACAGATAAACAAACCACCAACACGATTAAAAATGATATCAGTCAATCAAGACATGGAAAAAGACAACTGGTCGACCCACGTTCACAAGGTCGACCTCGGTACTTGGATGGATGGATGGATAGATAGATAGATAGATCGCCCACGAGAGCCTAACCCTGCCTGTAGCAGTTGTGCTTAGGCCTGACAGTGGACTGGAAACAAGGTTGACTCCTGCCGGGCCCTGGCCCCTCCCAGGGGCTCATGAATATGCAGGGTGACTCTCTAGGACCGCCCCTGACGTGTGCATACATCTGCATAGGCCACCCAGCTCCCCAGACCCCCAATCCACCTGTCACAGTTGTGCATAGGCCTGAGGTCTATGGAAATTAGGGTTGAGGCAGGACCCTCCCAGGCGTTCATGAATATGCAGGGTGACTCCCCACCACACCCCTGATGTGAGCATACATCTGCATAGGCCATGCCGCCCCTCGGACCCGCACCCCAGCTGTTGCAGTTGTGGGTAGGCCCGAGGTTTATGGGAACTAGGGTTGACTCTGGCTCCTCCCAGGGGCTCATGAATATGCAGGGTGACTCCCCAGGACCCCCTGACTTGTGCATTCATCCGCATAGGCCACCCCGCCCCCGAGAGCCTAACCCTGCCTGTAGCAGTTGTGCTTAGGCCTGACAGTGGAATGGAACCAAGGTTGTCCCTTGCCGGGCCCTGGCCCCTCCCAGGGGCTCATGAATATGCAGGATGACTCTCCAGGACCCCCATGACGTGTGCACTCATCTGCATAGGCCACCCAGCCCCCCTGGCCCCCAATCCACCTGTCACAGTTGTGCATAGGCCCGAGGTCTATGGAAGGTCTATGGAAACTAGGGTTGACTCTGGCCCCTCCGAGGCCCCTCCCAGGCGCTCATGAATATGCAGGGTGACTCCCAACCACACCCCTAACGTGTGCATACATCTGCACGGCTCCCCGGCTTCCCCTCCCTCCCTCCTCCCTCCACGGTCCCCGCTCCCAGTTCCCCAGCCCCCTTCCGCAGACCCGGGAGCCCCATCCCTGGCCCCTGGGAAAGCAGGAAGGAACAGAACCCAGGCTCCGCCCCCTCCGCCCACCCTGCGGTCGGAGCCGGCTCCCTCCCTCACGGGCCCTCGATCACAGCGGAGGGGGCGGGAAGGCGGGTGGCGGGGGTGGTCACGGGTGCGCGACGGGGGTCTCCCCGCCCCGTACCCTGCTTTTCTTGGCTTTCCCCACTCCCGGGAGCCACCGGAGGCACGGTCCGGGCCGAAAGGAAAGAAGCGGGGAAGCCAGGGGCCCGGGGATCATGGGAACCGAGTTGTCTGGTTCCCTCGGCCCATTCACGGACTACGGGCAAGATGGCCGCCGCCGAAAATCATGGGAGACGTAGTCCAACACCCGGAACCTGCACCCCGAGCCCCGGGGAGCCCCGGGAAGCGGCGCAGCTACCCCCCCCCCGCGGCCCGTGGGGGCGCCCACGCCCCGCCTCCGGCCCCCCAGTCGTGATCAGCGCCCACGAACAGGCTCTGGCAGTCGCTGGCAGTCACCAAGACCAACAGAGACCCCGGTCCGAGACCCGGGAGCAGGGACGCGGGCCCTGGCCGCGCCCCGGCAACGGGCAGCCCTCACCTGGCAACAGGGCGACCCCAGCCCCGTCCCTGAAGCGGTCACACCCCAAAACCAGACGCCGGCCGCACCGGGACACGCCGAGCCCCAGGGCCCGGTCTCCCTGGCACCTACTGGGCCCCTGGCAATGCCCTGCACCCGTCCCCACCCTCCCCTAGCGACGGACCGCCCCTAGCCATGCCCACAGCCCCAGCTGAAACCCTAGCCTGGCTGGAACCCCAGGGTGGCTGGAACACTAGGGTGGCTGTAACCCTAGCCACGGCCTCCCCTAGCAACTCACCACCCCTATCACAGCCCTCCTATGGCAATGGGCCACCCCTAGCCACTCCCCCAGCTCTAGCGTGGCCGGAAACCTAGCCTGGCAAGAAGGCTAGACTGGCTGGAACCCTAGCCTGGCTGGAACCCTAGCCACTCAAACCCCTAGCAATGCCCCACCCCTATCCCCGCCCTCCCATGGCAACTCCACCCCAGCCACTACCGCAGCACTAGCCACGCCCTCTGGGGGGACGGCCCCTTAGGGTTACCCGGGCCTTAGGGTTACAGCCAGGCTAGGGGTGGGGCGTGGCTAGGGTTGCCTGGGAGCTAGGGGTGGGGAGGTGCTGGGGTGGTGGAGTGGCTAGGGCTAGGGACGGTCCTAGGGTCAGGGTCAGCCTTAGGGTCAGGACTGGTGCTAGGTTGACCCTCAGGGCCTGGGTGGCTGGCAGGCTAGGACCGGGCTTTCTGGTCGAGGGAAGCCTGGATCCCCCCAGGCCCCTCCCAGGGGCTCATGAATATGCATGGTGACTCCCCGGAACCCCTGACGTGTGCATACATCTGCATAGACCACCCTGCTCCCTTGACTCCCACCCCGGCTGTCGCAGTTGTGCATACGCCCGAGGTCTATAGAGACTAGGGTTCACTCTGGCTCCTCCCCGTCCCCTAACTGGGGCTCATGAATATGCACTTGACTCACAGGACCCCCCTGATGTGTGCATACATCTGCATAGGCCATCCCTCCTCTGGAACTCCACCCCACCTGTCACAGTTGTGCATAGGCCCGAGGTTTATGGAAGGTCTGTGGAAACTAGGGTTGACTCTGGCCCGTCCTTGGCCTATCCCAGGGGCTCATGAATATGCAGGGTGTCTCCCCAGCACCCACCTGACATGTGCATACATCTGCATGAGCCACTCCATCCACCAGACCCACACCTTGGCTGTTGCAGTTGTGCATAGGCCCTACAGTGGACTGGACCTAGGGTTGACTCTGGCCCCTTCCAGGGGCTCATGAATATGCATGGTGACTCCCCGGAACCCCTGACGTGTGCATACATCTGCATAGACCACCCTGCTCCCTATAACTCCACCCCGGCTGTTGCAGTTGTGCATAGGCCCGAGGTCTATGAAGACTAGGGTTGACTCTGACCGCTCCCAGGCCCCTCCCAGGGGCTCATGAATATGCAGGGTGACTCCCCAGGACCCCCTGACTTGTGCATACATCCGCATAGGCCACCCCTGAACCCGAGAGCCTAACCCTGCCTATAGCAGTTGTGCTTAGGCCTGACAGTGGACTGGAACCAAGGTTGACTCCTGCCGGGCCCTGGCCATTCCCAGGGGCACATAAATAAGCAGGGTGACTCTCCAGGACCCCCCTGACGTGTGCACACACTTGCATAGACCACCCAGCTCCTCGGATCCCCAATACACCTGTCACAGTTGTGCATAGGCCCGAAGTCTATGGAAACTAGGGTTGGCTCTGGCCCCTCCCAGGGGCTCATGAATATGCATGGTGACTCCCCGGACCTCCTGACGTGTGCATACGTCTGCATAGACCACCCTGCTCCCTATAACTCCACCCCGGCTGTTGCAGTTGTGCATAGGCCCGGGGTCTAAGGAGAATAGAGGTTGACTCTGGCTTCTCCCCGGCCCCTAACTGGAGCTCATGAATATGCACGGTGACTCCCCAGGACCCCCCTGACATGTTCATACATCGGCATAGGCCATCCCGCCCCCCGGAACTCCACCCAACCTGTCACAGTTGTGCATAGGCCCGAGGTTTATGGAAGGTCTGTGGAAACTAGGGTTGACTCTGGCCCCTCCCAGGGTCTTATGAATATGCAGGGTGAGTCCCCAGGACCCCCTGACATGTGCACCCATCTACATAGGCTAACCCTACCGGGCCACTGGCGACGCCCCGCAACCGTCCCCACCCTCCCCTAGCGATGGACCGCCTCTAGCCACGCTCACAGCCCCAGCCCCGGCTGAAACCCTAGCCTGGCTGGAACTCCAGGGTGGCTGGAACACTAGGGTGGCTGTATCCCTAGCCACGCCCTCCCCTAGCAACGCTCCACCCCTATCACTGCCTTCCCATTGCAACATGCCGCCCCTAGCCACTCCCACAGCACTAGCCTCGCCCTCTGGGGTGCGCCCTTTAGGGTTCCCCGAGCTAGGGGTGGGGAGGTGCTAAAGGTGGAGGAGTGGCTAGGGCTAGGGGCGGTCCTAGGGACAGGGTCAGCCTTAGGTTCAGGACCAGTGCTAGGGTGACCATCAGGGCCGAGGCCTGGGTGGCTGGCAGGCTAGGACCGGACTTTCTGGTTGTTCGAGGGACGCCTGGATCCTCCCAGACCCCTCCCAGGAGCTCATGAATATGCAGAGTGTCTCCCCACGACCCCCTCACGCGTGCATACATCTGGATAGGCCACTCTGCCCCCCAGTGCCCCACACCGGCTGTCACAGTTGTGCGTAGGACCAAGGTCTATGGAAGTTCTATGGAAACTAGGGTTGACTCTGGCTTCTCCCAGGCCCCTCCCAGGGGCTCATGAATATGCAGGGTGACTCCACAGGACCCCCTGACTTGTGCATACATCCACATCGGCCACCCCGCCCCCGAGAATCTAACCCTGCCTGTAGCAGTTGTGCTTAGGCCTGACAGTGGACTGGAACCAAGGTTGACTCCAGCCGGGCCCTGGCCTCTCTAGAAGCTCATAAATATGCAGGGTGACTCTCAAGGACCCCCCTGACGTGTGCATATATCTGCATAGGCCACCCAGCCCCCCGGATCCCCAATCCACCTGTCACAGATGTGCATAGGCCCGAGGTCTATGGAAGGTCTATGGAAACTAGGGTTGACTCTGGCCCCTCCGAGGACCCTCAAAGGCGCTCATGAATATGCAGGGTGATTCCCACCACACCCCTGACTTGTGCATACATGAGTGGTTCCCTGGCTCCCACTCCCTCCCTCCTTTCTCCAGGGTCCCCACTCCCCTTTCCCCGCCCCCTCCCGTGGCACCGGGAGCCCCCCAATCGCCCTGGCCCCGGCCCCGGGAACCAGCTGGGAAAGCAGGAGGGAAAAGAGCCCAGGCTCCGCCCCCTCCGCCCGCCCCGCGGTCGGAGCCGGCTCCCTCCCTCACGGTCCTTTGATCGCGGGGGCGGGGGCGGGGGCGTGGGCGGCGTGGTCAATCGCCTGTGCGCGGCGTGTGTCTCCCCGCCCCGTACCCTGCTTTTCTCGACTTTCCCCACTCCTGGGAGCCGCCGGAGTCACGGTCAGGGCCCGAAGAAAGGAAGCGGGGAAGCCAGGGGCCTGGGGATCAGGGTAAGCTGAGTTTTCTCTGGTTCCCTCAGCCCATTCACGAACTACGGGCAAAATGGCCGCCGCCGGGAATCATGGGAGACGTAGTCCAACACAGGGAACCGGCACCCCGAGCCCCGGGGAGCCCCAAGGAGCGGTGCGGCAGCCCCCCGTGACCCGGGGTGCGCCCAAGGGCACGGATGTGCCTCGTGGGAAACCCACGCACCGCCTCCGCCCCCCCAGCTGCGATCAGTGCCCACGAGCGAGCTCTGTCCGTCACTGGCAGTCACCAAGAACCACAGAGAGCCGGTCTGAGACCCGGGGGCCAGGAACGCGGACCCTGGCTGTTCCCCCAACAACGGGCAGCCCTCCGCTGGCAAAGGGGCAACACCAGTCCCACCCCTAAAGCGGCCACGCCCCAAAACCGGCCTCTTGGTCACCCCGGGACGTGCCGAGCCCCAGTGCTCGGTCTCCCCGGCCCTTTCCAGGCCCATGGCGATGCCCCGCACCAGTCCCCACCCTCCCCTAGCGACGGACCACCCCTAGCCATGCCCACAGCCCAAGCCCCGGCTAAAACCCTAGCCTGCCTGGAACCCCAGGGTGGCTGGCACACTAGGGTGTCTGTAACCCTAGCCACGCCCTCCCAGAGCAACGCCCCCATCACCGCCCTCCCATGGCAACTGGCCGCCCCTAGCCACGCCCCCAGACGTAGCCTGCCCGGAACCCTAGCCTGGTAGGAATGCTAGCCTGGTTGGAACCCTAGCCCCTCCCACCCCTAGCAACGCCCCACCACTATCCCTGCCCTCCCCTGGCAACTCCACCCCCAGCCACTCCCACAGCACTAGCCACGCCCTCTGGGGACCGCCCCTTAAGGTTACCTGGGCCTTAGGGTTACAGCCAGGCTAGGGTTACAGTGAAGCTAGGGTTGGGGAGGAGCTAGGGGTGGGGGGATTGGCTAGGGCTAGGGGCAGTCCTAGGGTCAGGGTCAGCCTTAGGGTCAGGACTGGTGCTAGGTTGACAATCAGGGCCAAGGCTTGAGTGGCTGGCAGACTAGGAACGGGCTCTGATTGGTCAAGGGAGGCCTGGATCCCCCAAGGCCCCTCCCAGGGGCTCATGAATATGCAGGGTGACTCCCCGGACCCCCCTGACGTGTGCATACATCTGCATAGATCACCCTGCTCCCTTGACCCCCACCCTGGTTGTCGAAGTTGTGCTTAGGCCCGAGGTCAATGGAGACTAGGGTTGACTCTGGCCCCTCCAAGGCGGTCATGAATATGCACGGTGACTCCCCACTACACCCCTGACGTGTGCGTACATCTGCACGGCTCCCCCTCCCTCCTTTCTCCCACCACCCTCCCCATTCCCCCGCTCCATCACGTGGCCCCGCGAGCCTCCCCGATCACCCCATCCCCGTTCCAGGGATGCCAGCTGTGAGAGCAGGAAAGAACAGAGCCTAGGCTCCACCCACTCCGCCCGCCCCGACGTCCGAACCGGCGCGGAGCTCCCTCACAGGACCTAGATCTCGGCGGCGGGGGCGGGGAGGTGGGCGGTGTGGTAGGTCGTGGGTGAGTTGCGCGTGTCTCCCCGTCCCAGACCCCACTTTTCTCGGCTTTCCCCACTCCTGGGAGATG